TTCATAATTCAAAGGCATCAGTTCTTTGCTCTTACTTATTCATAGCCCTGCTTTCACTTCCATAAATGGTGACTGAAAATACCATTGTTTGGGTCATGCTCACCTTAGTACTCAAGGTGACATCTTTGCTCTTAAACACTTTAACGATATCTTTTGCGGCAGATTTGTCCTATGCAATACGTCATTTGATTTCTTGATTGCTGCTTTCATGGGCACTGGCTGTAGATCGAAGTAAAAGGAAATCCTTGACAACTTCAATATTTTCCTGTTTATCATGATGTTGCTTATTGGTCCTAGGATGTAGTTTATACCTTATGTAGTATATTATGCCAACTGGGTGAGTTGTCCCTAGAGATAATGGTCCTAAGCTTTCAGACCTGTAAACCAATCTCACAAAGTGTTTGTTTGCTCATCTAAGAAGTATCCATGTTTGTGCTCTCAAGTACTTATTTTTCATATGCCTATTTATGAATGCATACACTTATATATATACACCTACATATAAATATATTTATATATGCCCAGCTGCTAGATTTCTTTCAATTGTGTACCACTAAATCTCCATTAAGGAGCTCTGGTGGTGTAATGGGTAAGGATGACCAGAAGGTCAGTGGTTCAAATCCACCAGCTGCTCTGTGGGAGGAAGATGAGGCAATCTACTTCCGTAAAGATTTATAGCCTTGGAAACCAAATGGGGGTCAGTATGAGTTGGAATCAACTCGATGGCAATTTAGTTTTTCTTGGATATCTCCATTGTTTCTGAGAGTGCTGTTAAGCTTGAACTTCCTCATACTTTGTTCCAAATTAAGTCGACTCTCTTTGCACAGCTTTGGAACTGCCTGTTTTAAAAGCCTGCAAAACCTCTGTGCCACTGTCCCAGGGCTGGGGATAGGGGCAGTGGCCTACTTCTCTCAGTTACACCTCTGCTGTATGAGCAGGGCACTGGCAATTGCCTCTGGTTTTCTCAACTCGCTTCTCTCAGCATGGAACCTCTATTCTACAAGACTGGGGCAATGGCAATCCAGGCCTCATAGATTTCAGCCTGTGCCTGGAACACAGTTTCTACCCTACAAATAGGACTGGGCAGATGAAGAGAGTCCCAGACCTTAGCCACTCTTGCTTGAAAGAGAGTTTCTGCAACACAGTGCTGGGGAATTTGAGAAATGCTGGCCACTTGCCTTTGCCAGGGAGATTACAGCCCTCCTGTGGGAGCTGGGGAGGTAAATGTTCCCACCTTGCAGTACAGCTTCTCTAATGCTGAGTTGGGGTGTGGGAAGAAGGGAGCAGGTCATGGATCAAATGCTACAGACTCTCATTGTTCTTAATGAAATTCAATAGATTTTCTTGAATAAATTTTTCTTCTTTTACTGTGTGGCTTGAGGACAATTTATAGAAAGTTTAATTTTTTTTCTTTAAAATCATTTTAATCAGATTTCATTATTTCATTGGGTAGAGGGTCTATGTAATTCCTCCTGCCATTTTGAAAACTATCTGATTCAAATTATTTTAAATTTATTAAGACTTCTTTTACATTCAAGGTATTATTTATTTTGATGAATGTTTCATTGGCTTAAAAATGTTGTTGGGTGGGGTATTTTATAAATTCAGTGGTTAATGGTGTTTTTAAACATTATTCTGTGTTCTTGCTGATTTTCTATCTATTCATTCTACATTTATTAGCTGCTGTTGTATATGTCGGGTTAGCATATTATTAACAAAAAAGCAGATTCAGAAAATAATCTTTTTGACAACCCTACTGCAGTATCTGATTCAGGCAAGGATTACCAAATAGATAATAATAAAACTATTAATTGAAGATGTGTTGTGGAATAGGACATTACACACCTACATTACTTGCTAATTGAAAGGGAGATAGTAATTATAATGCAGAGATATGGCTGTCATCACTAGCGTCACTAATAATGGGACAACTTCACATTATGTGCCTCCAAGTGTAAGATATATGAAGTAAACAGCATCACTTTTGTATTCTTGCCAAAAATGTTTCATTGGAATCTAATAAGGCCTTTTCCCTAATTTTCAGATTATAGGAAATACAAGATATAGAGGAAAAAGTTAAAGTACACAGTAAAACAAATCCAAAATAGTATTTGTGAGAGTGTAAGGAAGGTGGTATATCTGGGGTCAAGAGGATCTTGTCTGGAAGAAAGGCAAGGAAGAGCTTTCCCTTCCAGTTTTGCTTCTCCCTACATAGCCTTGGGAAGGTCACTGCCTGAAGCATCCCCCCTAAGAGAAAGCATCAGCAACATCAGCCTGCTGGGCTGGTAAAATATTTGTGCAGTGAGAAGTTGGGTGTTCATGAAGCTGCCCAGTGTAGGGTTTTAATCCTAGAAGGCTAGTAGATTACAACCTAAGATGACTGTCTCCTAACAGTGCTGCTTTTTTTCTGTGAGTTTAAAGGCAAGTCCCTGAACAGAGAAATTGCTGGTGTAGTGGAGGGTAGTTGACCTGCATTTCTGTGGTACCCAAGACTCTTCTCCTTGGGTTCATTTCCTTTTTCTTTAAAGTCACTGGGCGAAACACCAACTGGAAGGGCCTCAGTTTCAGTCATTATACATGATCAGACAGGGTAGCTGTTTCTTCTGAGGGGGCATGAGCTCACAGGACAAAATAACTAGACACTTTAATACATTCACACCTATAGTATAATAAAAGATGACAATCTGAAAAACAATATGTGAAGCTGGTTGACTTTTAAAAACCTAAATCTGAAATAAGTATAATAAAAATGATATAAGGGATTTCTTTCAAAGTAATATAGGAAGAGAAAGTAGGTAGAGGTGTACGTACAATTAACCAAGAGTACACAAGGTGTTTACCACACAGCTCTGTCTACTTTTATATATGTTTGAAATTTTAAACATATATAATAAAAAGTTAAAAAACAAAACAAACACCTTTACATAGCTAAGACCTCAAACAACAACAACAAACAAACCCACCATAATACATAGCTAAAGCGGAATATTAAATATACAAATAGCAAGAAATCATAAGAATCAAGCAAAGCCATTAGACATGAAAAATAAAATACACAATAAATACATATTTTAATTAATAGTTTTATTATTATATATTTGGTAATCCTTGCCTGAATCAGATACTGCACTAGAGTTGTCAAAAATATTATTTTCTGATTCTGCTTACTTGTTAATAATATGCCAACCTGGCATATAAATAGGAGAAGTAGCAGGACAGCTATAGCTGAAAATGAATTTGTGATCTAGGACATGAAATTTAGGAACATTTCTAGAAGGCAGTGGAAAAGAACAGAAATAGACTATATAAAAGAAAGAGACACAAAGGCCAGAAGTAGAAGTGGGACAATTGGAGTTCTAAGAGAAAGAAAGAAACGGATAGAATTGAAATATTTGAAGAAAGCTTTTCTATAATTAAGGAAATATAAAAGATTGGGATTGGGAAGGTTAACAGGATACCAGGAAAAAAAGGAAACATACATTCTCCAAATCTTTGGAAATTTAGATAATCTAACCAAAACAACAAAAACATTTAAAATAATAGATTAATGATAAATTACATAGATGGATACATACCAGCATGGAAATATTATGTAATAATGTTATTACAAAACTACGTATAGTATGATATTATTTATCATATCATTTGAAGGAGAGAAAGAGTAGAAGTGTAAGGGAGGGAGGTAGAGAGGGGAAGAAGGAAGATGAGGAATAAGGAGGAGAAAGGAAGAGGAAGTAGGGAGGGGGAGGGGAGAAGAAGGAGTTTCTTCTCTAGGAATTTCTTCTAAGGAAAAATTGTGGATGTTACAATTATTTAGTCATAACTATGAGAGGATGAAGGCACTTTGGTGGCACAGTGGTTAAGCATTCAGCTGCTAATCCAAAGACTGGCAGTTGGAAACTACCATATGCTCAGCAGGAGAAAGATGAAATAGTCTGCTTCCATAAAGATTCACAGCCTTGGAAACCCTATGGAGCAGCTCTACTTGGTCCTACAGAGTTGCTGTGAGTTAGAATCGACTCAATGACAGTGGGGCACAAGAGGATACTTATGAGCACATTCCATGAAAACTGTGATTGTATGGAAATAATTTAAATGTCCAAATAGTATATAAAATTATGTATAAAAAGACGATACCAAATTTTTTATAGTGTTTTTTTTTTTCCCTTAGGTGTTAAAATTATTATTTTTTTATGCTCATCATTATTCTATAATGGACAATGAATTAATATTTTTGAAATGGAAAACAAGTTTCTTAAAAGTAATCTAGTAAGTTTTCCTAAGCTTATTTTCATTTCTATTTCAATGATTTCCAAAGAATACATCCAACAATTTGACAGTTCTTGAGCCAACACATAGAAAGCAGTGTCAGTTATACCTGCAGGCAGCATTAAGAACTGCATCCCCTCCCTCTTTTGCATACAACACACATACTAAGTATACAACACATCCAGGGCACTGTGTTACCCAGTGCTGGATTTAAAAAAAAAAAAAAAGAGAGGGACCAAGATTTTTTGCTTAAACAAGAGACAGACTATGGGGTAGAAAAAGACATGTAAATTCTTAAGTACAAATCAAGAAGGCATGTTTGAAAGTGTCAAAGAAAGGGTGAGATGATTCCAGTTGAGGGAATCTGTGTTCTTGTATACTAGTCATTCTGAATTTCCTCTTCTTCCCTCTCTAATTTATCACTGAACCATTAAGGTTATAAAACAGCTAACAACCTCTATTCTGACATTCCATATTAACACTTACTAGACTTACTTACCCTCAAGGCCAATTCACATGTCATTTCACCTGAGTTTTTTTTTTTTGGGTAACTGCACTTATCTTGATATTCTGTGACCATGGATTCAGTGCCTGTCTCCATTCTTGACTGAGAACCCTGAGGGGACTCTCATTTTGATGTTCCTGGGGTGATTTACTAAGTATACATCATGACTTTTTCACACCTTCTGAACATGTTTTATACCTTGGCAAAGGAAACTTAGAAGTCATACCTGGTGGGGTTTCTTTTGTCTTCCTCAGAGATCAAAAACCAAACAAAATCTGCATAGCTCATTCTTCCCTCTTTTTGTACTGTTTTTCCCCTGGGGTTGGAGGAGAAAAAGAATACATCGTTACAAAATTTCTTAGAAAAATATGGTAGGATGATATTGTTGTTCTTCTTAGCCTGTTCAAACTCATAGTGAGTGACCTTATGTATAACAGAATGAAACACTGCCTGGTCCTGCACCAGCCTGACAATCATTGCCATGGTTGACCCCACTGTTAGAGCCACTGTCTTAATTCTTGTTGAGGGTCTTCCTTTTTCACTCACCCTCCATTTTACCAAGTAGGATGATACACTAAGAAATAAAGTAACACCCTTCTTTGGAAATTTAACTAAATTTTTAGAAAAATGAGAATGCAGGATACCTCACAAGGGCAGTGCTTTCCCTGGCTGCAAAAATGGTGTGGTAGAGGCATCTGATTTCCTCTAACTTCAAAAGGGGGAAGGAGAATCAAGATGAACAGCGCAAGGTTGATTCCTTTTTTTTTTTTTTTTT